ATCACTGCGGGTCCAGGGTCCTGTTGAAAAGTTTTATAGGTCCAACAGCTTACTGTTATTTAACCAGAAATGACTGAACAAAAGAAATAAACAAATCAGGTTTAACTAACTCTTAAGAAATCCAATTTACAGTAAGGAAATCTGCCTTATCTAATTTTCCTTGTAAGATATACCTATTCAAAGACCAAAGCCCGCTATTAGCATACCTCATTCCTTTGCTGGCTGGGTCCATTCTGGAGACCAAGGTATCAGACAGAAATTTGATTGGTACACAAAGAATTAGAACTGTTGGTTATTGTCTAGGGCTAGTTCCATCAAATTCTTGAAGGCTTATGTTTGCTTTCTGTATTTTAGGAGAAATGATCTAAAGAAATAAGATCATTAATAGGATTAGAGCATCTTTTTAAAACTGTCATGAACACCTATATAGTTTTAATTTTTAATACCCTTTATTACCACATTTCTAAAGCATCTTTACTTAATACCTGGCATTTTATAGCTTTAAATAAGTTTGACATTATAGTCATGTTTTGAAGAAGACTTGATGGGGTACTTCGAGGGAGATTTAGAATGCAATGTAGTTTCATTAGTAATGTAATAAATAATTTGGTAGAATAGAATATGAGTAGTTAATCTCTCCCTATTTTAATTATTATAAGATTGAGCTTTTTTAAAAAAGATTTTATTTATTTATTTGACAGACATCACAAGTAGGCAGAGAGGCAGGCAGAGAGAGAGGAAGGGAAGCAGGTTCCCTGTTGAGCAGAGAGCCCAATCCTGAGATCATGACCTAAGCCGAAGGCAGAGGCTTTAACCCATTAAGCCACCCAGGCGCCCCTACCAGCTTCAGTTTTAGAGATTAACCTTTCCTTGCATTAACGATAACTTCAGTCAAAGACTTTATGTTATATTTAATGTTATACCTATTTTATTACCTCTGATTACTTCATTACCTCTGTGGTGAATAGCTATTATCTTAATGAGCATTCTGCTTTTGAACCACATCTTAAAATGAATTGAAACAGAAATATAATATATGTCACTTATTTAACCCTTTGTGGTAAGTGTGGTAGTTTATGATAGAAGAAATATTGATAGCTTCAAGCCTAAAAAAAGCATTAAAAAGTTCAAAATATATAGACCCAAATTTTCACTTGATCTTAGTCAAGAGGCCAGGAAATGATGGACCCAAGTTTTCATAACTAGCTTAAACTCTTTAACATTGTAAAATGTCTAATAATTACCTCGAAGAACAAAATCTATTTGTGTTCCCTCTTTCCTTATTTAAATATCTGTAAGAAAAAAAGGTCTTATTTCTCAGAGTGAAGGGAGGTGAAGGTACGAAATTAATCATGCGTCCCCAGTAAATGAAAAACTGTGGTGTTTTTCTTCTCTTTTTTTGCTTTAATTTAAGGAGATATATTTATACCTTTCTTGTGATTATCTTTTATTAAGCACTATCAAGATTGTAACTATATGTAGCAATGTGTTATGACTTTAGTTAACCTTTAGAATTTGTGCCTTTAGTGGACCACATCCTTCATTTATATATAAATTTACATAAATATATAAAAATGTAAATTATATATAAATTATTTATATAGATATATAAAATTATGTTTTACAACTGTGTTTATATAAATGGATATGTCCACCCTTACTACACCATCTATGTTGAGGGAATAACTGACTGGAGCTTTCCTTCTCAAACCTTAGCATTTTATTTTTGTTTATTTATTTATTTATTTATTTATTTTTTAAAAGATTTTATTTTTTATTTGACAGACAGAGATCACAAGTAGACAGAGAGGCAGGCAGAGAGAGAAAGGGAGGAAGCAGGCTCCCTGCTGAGCAGAGAGCCCTATGCGGGACTCAATCCCAGGACCCTGAGACCATGACCTGAGCCAAAGGCAGAGGCTTTAACCCATTGAGCCACCCAGGCGCCCCAAACCTTAGCATTTTAGTAATCTTATCTTGCCATCCTTCATTTAGTTTTTAGAAACTGTAAGTTTTTTTTTTGTTTTAATTAGAAAACTTTTTTAAAAAGATTTCATATATTTATTTGACAGAGAGAGAGAGAGAGAGAGAGCACAAGCAGGGGAGAGCAGCAGACAGCGGAAGAGGGAGAAGCAGGATCCCCTCTGAGCGGGGAGCCCAATGTGGGGCTACATCCCAGGACCCTGGGATCACGACCCAAGCTGAAGGCAAACACTTAACCGACTGAGCCACTGAGGCACCCCTAAAAATCTTTATTTTTTAGAGAAGGTCAAGTTAGCAAAATTAAACAAAAAAATATAGAGAATACCCACATACACCTTGTCCCCACAGATAGACAAACTCCCCCACTATCAACATCCTGCACCAAATTTGTATACTTATTATAATTGGTGAACCCACACCAACACATCATTATCACCTGAAGTCCATACTTTACATTAGAGTTTATTCTTGGGGTTGTGTATTCTATGGGTTTTGACAAATGTATAATGACATGTATCTACTATGTTGCAGTATTATGTAGAATAGTTTTACTGTCCTAAAAATGGTTGGTGCTTTGCCTATTCATCCCACCCTCCACCTTAATCCCTGGCAACTACTGATCTTTTTGCTGTCTCTACAGTTTTGCTTCTTTCGAGAATTTCACATAGTTGGAATTGTACAGCATGTCACCTCCTTTCACTTAGTAATATGCATTTAAGATTCCTCCATGTCTATTCATGGCTTGATAGCTCATTTCTTTTTAGCGCTAAGTAATATTCCTTTGTATGGATGTAACAGTTTATTTATTCTTTCATCTACTGAAGGACATCTTGGTTGTTTCCAGGTTTTGGCAATTGCAGGTAAAGTTGCTATAAATGTCTGTGTGGAGATTTTGGAGCAGACATAATTTTTAATTAATTTGGGTATATCCAAGGAGCACATTGCTGGATTAAAGTAAAAGTAAGAAACCATGAAACTGTCTTCCAATGTAGCTACACTGGTTCTGCATTTCCACTAGCAGTGAATGTGTTTCTGTTTCTTCACATCCTCACCAGCATTTGGTGGTATGAGCGTTTTGGATTGGACATTCTAATATGTAGATAATAGTATCTTATTATTTTATTTTATTTTTTACTAATATTTTAATTTATAGTTGTCTAATGACAAATGATGTTGAACATCTTTCATATGCTTATTTGCCATCTGTGTATCTTCTTTGGTGAGGTGTTAAGGTTTTGGGCCCATTTTTTAATTGGTATATTTATTTTCTTATTGTTGAGTTTTTTTACAATTTTATTTATTTATTTGAGGGAGAGAGAGAGAGAGCATGAACAGACGAAGAGGGAGAAGCAGATTCCTAGTGAGCAGAGAGCCCCATGTGGGGCTTAAGACAGATGCTTAACCAACTGAGCCACCCAGGCGCCTTTCTTATCGTTGAGTTTTAAAAAATCTTTTTATATATTTGGATACCAACCCCTTTATCACATAATTTTTCCTAGTATGTGGCTTGTCTTCACATTCTCTTGACACTGTCTTTCACAAGTTTAAGTTTAATGAAATCCAGCTTATCAATTATTTCTCTTGAATTATGTCTTAGGTGTTATATCTAAAAATTCATCATTATACCAATGTCATCTAGATTTTCTCCTGTGTTATCCTCTAGAAGTTTTATAGTTTTGCATTTTATATTTAAGTCTGTCACCCATTTTGAGTTAAATTTTCTGAAGAGTACAGAGTCTGTGTCTGTCTGTCTGTATATGTGTATGTATTTATTGGCATGTAGATGTCTAATTGTCCCAGCATCATTTATCTTGTATTGTATTGCCTTTGCTTCTTTGTCAAAGATTAGTTGCAACTAGTCTGTTCATGGGGATCTACTTCTGGGCTCTCTCTTCTGTTCCACTGGTCTATTTGTCTATTCTTTTGTCAATACCATGCTGTCTTGATTACTGTGGCTTCACAATAAGTCTGAAGTCGAAAGTGTTAGTCTTCCAGCTTTGTTCTTTTTTCTTAAATATAGAATTGGCTATTCTGGGGTGGTTTTGTTGTTGTTGTTTTTTTCCCTCTTTTTATAAACTTTAGGATCAGTCTGTTGATATGCAAAATATTACCTTACTAGTATTTTTAGTGGAATTACATTGAGTCTATAGATCAAGTTGAGAAGAATTGATTTCTTGACAATATTGATCTTCTTATCTCTGAAGATAACGTCACTGGGCATCTTTCCATTTATTTACTTCTTTGATATCTTTCATCAGTTTGTACTTTTCCTTTTAGGAAATGAAAGTTTTTAACTAAGGGGTTTTATTCATTTAAGAACTCCATTTTACCCCTGTGATCATTAGTGGACTTGTAAAAGAGGCCCGCAGTACCCTTGTGAAAGGTTTGGCAAGTACTTCTAAATGGCTAGGTTTGGTCGACAGCTTTTGCTATCTGACTTGGTTTTTCACAGAATTAGGCTTTTAAGTTGAACAGACTTTTGCTGATACCTCAAAGATTTGTATTATTATAATCCTTAGCAAGACTCAGGAAGGAATCTAAGTTTATATTTTTCAGATCATGATAAACAGGGTGATCTCTTACTGGTCTCGTTTTAGCCCTATTCTTAAGTATATTTTACCAAGAGAAACAATCAGAATTTACCTCTACTTCTTAAAATAAACATCAAATTTCAGTAAGATTATTATATTACCATCTTTTTAAAAGAGTGTATCTGATATTATTCTTTATATAGTGTAAACTTTTATTTACTCCCAGCCCGTTTCCAGCTGCTTAAATTTCTCATTTGTGTTAAGAAGAAAATTGTTAAATGTTCGTTAAGTCTCTAAACCCTAACTTTGTACATGATATGATACTATAAAATTTTTTTAACAAGTTTGAGAATATAATTTTCTCTACAAAGTTAACAGCATTTTCTGAGATATACTCTGTGCTTATATTGTTTAAGTAATAGGTACATGGTTATTTTAGATATAAACTCTCCTTTCCAAGATAATTAATTTTTTTTCTGCTTTCAATAGGGATTTTCTACTTAAAGTGTTACCAGCTCTAAGAATCCTCAATGGTGAAATGCTAAACTCTTATTCAGAAAGGCAAACTGAAGAATACTATGAGCCAGAATTAGGACGTTTTGTGATACTTTGTCAGTCTCAGATTCAAGAATTCAACTCACTAGTTGAAAGCTATATTAATGGAAAAGGGTAAGACTGTTCACTTCTCCATGTCATAATTTAAAGAAATAATTCAGTATATGTATATAATTTAAAAATACTCTGATTAACACAATGATACATTTTTTGGATTAAGACTGTGTGTTTTAGGGATATTTTCCCTTAAAAACATAATTCAAATTATAGTTTAAATGCTAAAGTATTAGTTATAATAAGTGAAGTCATAAGGATAATTTCAAGACAAGAATCAAACATCCATTCAGTCATTCATTCAATTAATCAGTCATAAATTTGTTTGACAATTATTGTAGGCAAGACACAAAAATAAGCTAAGTATTACACGTTATCCTTAATTCACAGATTAACATAAGAGAAAATTAGTTACAATGAAGCAAGGCAAATTTTATAAGTATAACATTTATTATATATTAAGATATATTGTATATATATTATACTTATGTATTAAAATATTAGGCGAGCACAGTAGAGAAAAGTAGTCAACACATGCACATATTCAGAGGAGCAGAAGCTAAGAGTACAGACCTAATCAGATATAAAAGAAAGAGAACTTCCCACTCCCCATCCCAAATTAGGAATGTGTTAGTGTGAAAGAATTACAGGTGATCTTTCTCTAACTGTATTTTCTAATTTGCATTACTCCAGAAAACACAAATAAAAAAAGAAACAATTTCATATTTCACTTATGGTGACCCTTCATTTTAACTGAATTGTAACTGTAATATATCCTTCCAAATACCTAAACTTAATCATTAAATTGCAGTCTTTAATATTGCTTTTCACATATTTATGTTTGCTCATCTATATAAGATTTGTTTTCCATTTAACTGTTTTTAATATAATCTATTCAGATTAAAAACAAATCTCACAGCTTTAAAAATAATGCCAATTGTTATATATAATTAATGTTTGCTTTTGACAAATACTAAGATTATTTACATTTATCTTTGTGGAAAAACTAAACTTATATTTCTTTGTATATGTGTGGTAATGTAGAATTTTTTTGTGTAAAGATGACCCTAATATCCCTCATGTTGAAACAGATTCCTCAATTCCTTTGTATAATCTCTTGTCATTGCAACATGTTTCATTTTGGCATTGATCATGGAAAATAGACTATATTTTACATTAATAATAAATGGTGGTGAATTCAACACCATTCCTACACACTAAATATTCTAATATCAAGTTGAACCTTTTCTGCATTATTAGCCACCAAAATGAATGAAATACAAAATATTGAAAGTACATTGGAGGAGCCTATGCTAATGTCTAATATTACTTCTCTGAACTCAGGACTGTTTATCTCCACAGTTTACTTTCATTTTGTATGGTTAAAAGTTTTATATTTATATATATGCTTATATATATGGTCAAAGTTTTATGTTTATTTATATCCTGCATGTTTCAGAAAAAAAAAATAAGGCAGCTTGTTGGCTATATATTAAATACTGTCAAGAAAATAAACATTGGAAGTAAGTAAATTCTTAAAAATAAAACAAGGGAAGATAAGTAAAATGTACCAAGAAAAAGGCTCATATAGGTGCAGAGTCTTTTACATTTGCTATTAAGATCCCCAAATCTGGCAAACAGAAAGTTTGATTAATTATGTAAGCCATAACCTCAATAAGATAGAAATTCAACAGTTGTTTAAGAGGATCACAACCAATTATGCCTTCAAGTATTTGAATTTTCTTCGCAATGGATAATTTTTCCAGCGAAAAATGGGAATAAAAACTTTCCCATAATATAAGTTCTTTGTTTAAAAGTCCAATACAAATATTTTGCATGGCAAGAGTCAATGTAGAAAGTACTTTTAACTGTTTCATAAATAACTTCTCCAAATTTAGGCAGCCATGATTTCTCATGTTTATGGTAGTAAAAGCATGGATTTTTTCTCATTCAATTGTACCAAAAATACCTAGAATAAAAATGGTTCTAAAACTTCCAGACATTTTGTCTGGATTGACAAATCTAAATTAGCTGAACAAATATTTTCAGTTTGTTAGAAATGAGATACATTTTTACATAAATGACCAGAAATAAGGTTTTAATGAATGTTGTAGTAAAGCTTAATTTTCATGTTTACCATAAAAACAAGGGAAATTTCCAGAACCTACACATATTTTAATATTTGCTGATATAATTCTTATTAAATGTTTTGGTTGTTTAGAAATTTTGTCACCTTGGATGCTGCAGAAAATCTCTGCCATTATTTTAATAAATTAATGACACTTAGTAATGAATGCCGATATTCACATGAACATGGGAATGTAAGTGTCACCCAGAGAGAAGACTCTGAAATCCAGCAAAATCATTTGACCCCTACAAATAGTGATAGCGTACTGCAAAATAGAGTTCTCCACTCTTGTGCAGACAAATATAAACTGGACTCACCAGATACCTCTGAGAAATGGATGAACTCTGGCTCTAGTCATTCCACATTTACCAACTCCTTATGTGAAGATACAGAAGGAAGAAATCAGGAAGAAATAGTAGACCAAAAAAGAAAAAAAAGCAAATCAAACAGTATCTCCATGGAAAGAATCCCATTCATGGAAACAGTAATGACAAGTTCTCTGCTGTGGAATTGCCAAAATACTGAACATCGTAAAAAAATGTAAGATTTATAGAACATTTTTCTTTTACAGTTGTATATCTTTTATTTTTAATGGATAGTCTTAGGTAATTTTCCAAATGCTTATTTGGTAAAGGATTTAAATAACGATTGTATGTTATACTAATTCCCTTAATAATATGACATGTGTACAAATTATTAATTATAGTACAGATTAACTTTACTGAACATTGGCAGGCTCTGATTTAATTGACTGTATTTTATTAAAAAATGAGAACATGTAAAATTATTTTTTCTTTTTTTTTAAAGATTCTATTTATTTATTTATTTATTTGAGAGAAGTAGCAAGAAAGAGCACAAGTGGGAGTGGGGAGAAGGGAGAGGGAGAAGCAGACTTCCCGCTGAGCAGGGATCCTGACGTGGGGCTCAATCCCAGGACCCCGGGATCATGACCTGAGCTGAAAACAGACACTTAATTGACTGAGCCACCTAGGCACCCCATTGCCTTAATCCCCATTGCCCATTTAACCCATCCACCTGCCCACCTCCCCTCTAGCAACCCTCAGTTTTTTCTGTGTAGTTGTCTGTTTCACGGTTTGCTAACTATGAAATACTTTTAAAAAGCTAATGGTAGGCACCTGGATAGCTCAGTTGGTTGAACATCTGACTCTTGACTTTGGCTCAGGTCATGATCTTGATCTCAATCTCGGGGTCCTGGGATCTAATCCTGCACAGGGCTGGCTCCCTGCTCAGTGGGGAGTCTACTGAAAGATTCTTTCTTTATCACTCTTCCTCTGCCCTCTACCTGCTCACATGCCCTCCTTCTCTCTCTCTCTAAAATTAGATAAATCTTCTAAAAAACTATAAAGCTAATGGCTTTAATTTTTTATTGAACCAGCAAAGATTACTTTTTACTTTGGCTTGTCAAAATCTTTTTCTTTTTTTACTTTTGGCTTCAATGTCAAGCCAACAAAATTAAAATTGGTTAAACTCAGCTTCTCCTACAGTAACAGGTGCTGAGTAGGGCAGAATGCAGAGTATCATGGTAGCTAATCTTATTTTTCCTAGTCTTTATTCTTTTAGAAGTTGTCAGTATGAATGGTGATTTCTTTTCTGAAAGTTATGTTAAAAAGTTTGATATGCTGAAACTTGTATGTATTCCCTAAGGCAAAAACATTTTTAAAAATTTTATTGAAAGTAACTCTAACACTTCCTAATTTATATTTCATTAATTTAATTGATTACTTTTGCTCTGTAGAGGAGGAAAAATAGCTTTTACTTCTACCCTTCTAAGTTCTCAACTGGAATCCCTGTAACAAAAGGTAGATTAATATCAGAAAAACATAGAAATGTACTATATGCTGGCTAATTGAACATAATAATAAAAAAATAAAACAGAAAAAAAGAAATGTATTTAATATAAGTTTTACATGACATGGGAATCTTCATAAAGAAATAAAGACCTGTAGAAATAGTTAAACCTGAGCACTATTATATTAAGTTTGATGAAAAGTAGAAGGTCGTGGAAAATATGATTAGGGCAAAGTGTGTGAGCTAAGCATAGTAAACTGGGGTAAATTTAGCAAGGCCTGTTTATTCAGATTCCTCTTGTCATCCTTTCATCTTCAGATAAAAATGCTTCTTTTCACTAAGTTATTGGCGCATTTCTCTCCTTCAGATTTGAAGGTTTTCCACTCCATTTTTATGTGTATGCCTATAGTTAAGCCAAAAGTTCTTTTTTTTAACCAATACCTTACATATTTCATGTTTACAAAAATAGTTTATGAGGACCTCTCACCTACAACTGTGTTTTCATGGATACTAAACATGTTTTTTCTCTTCTTAATAGTATGGCAGCTATGGTAATCCAGGCATACTGGCGTGGTTACATCGTGCGCAGACGTATTCATTTCTCTACAAAGCTACAGCCCGCTGCAATAGGACCCCTGAGGTCCGAGCCAAATTACTGCATCAAGAATAAAACTATTTTAAAGAAAGAAAAAAGAGAAAACACTGTGAATATCCAAGAACAGAGGGAGAAGTCTGCCATTCTTATTCAGGTTAGTTTTAATCTTTTGGTGAAATAGTCCTGAGAGATGTATTTCTCATCTTTCACCGGGTTACTCTGTATAACAGACAACCGGCAAATCTTAGTGATTTACAACTACTGGATGTATTTCTTACTCAGGTGATATGTAAGGCTGCAGGTTGGCTGTGCCTCTGCTTAGTATCTAGGCTGAAGGAGTAGTCATAATTTAGAAATACTATTCTCATGATCAAGGGCCAAACTGAACCACACAATCATATTTAAAGCTTCTGCTCAGATATGTCATTTGCCACATCTGCTAACATTTTGATTAGCCATAGCAACTCTCATTTGGCCTAATCTACAGCTCTTTTTAGAACAATGTTTAAAAATCTACTAAAGTAATTATTAAAGGCCTTCAAATACATGTTCAAATTAAAAATTCAGAAATCAAGAAGTGAATAGACTTGATTAAACCAAAGAGTCACTAAGATCAGCTTTTGAAATGAAGTTCCAACATCACATTCATCCTTTTATTTATTTATTTGTCAAATATTTTTTAGAACCTAGTATTTGTCAAAGACTGTTCTGGGCTCAGAAACCATAACTCTAAATTAGCCATTCAATTTCTCTGCCATCGTGGAGTTTTCATACTGATGGGAGATGCAGAACCAAATAAATACATAAATATAAACTAAATAAATACATAAAATAAGTTTTGTGGAAATTCATGGTACTGTGCTTGAATTGAAAGACAGTAACCAAAAATTTAGCATTTCCCTTTATTCATTCATTGAATAAATATTTCTTTTTTTGAATAAATATTTCTTAATACAGAAATCTTACTAGCTTGTATTCTGTTGGAATGAGCAGTTAAGTAAATAAGTATGTTAGATAGTGATAAGTCTTAAAAGGAAAAATAAAGTAGGAAAAGCAGGATAGTAGAGTCAAGGGAAAGTTTTTCATTTCAGATATGATGGAGAGGGAAGACTGGAAAAGGTGACATTGCAGTGAGAGATTAAGTCATTGGATGCCTGGGAGAAAAACATTCCAGACCGTGGAATATCTGATTTAGGAGCAAACTACAGTGTTTAAAGAGCAGTGAGAAGCCAGTATGATTGGACAGTGATGGAGGAGAGAAGGGTGACACTTACAAATCATAAGTCATGGTAGAGATTTTGGCTTTTACTCTGAATGACATGGGAAGATATGACAGGAATCTGAGCAATGGACTCACATGATCAAGGTTACTTTATGTTGTGATTATACTGTAGGAAGGCAGGAGTGAAAGCAGAAAAATCAGTTAGGAGCTATTACAGTAATTCAGACAAGGGATAATGGTAGCTAGGATCAGAGTGTTGAAGTAGAAGTGGTAAGAAAATCACATTCCAAAGTATATTTTGGTTTATTTTGAGGCATACTTCCTTTGAAGATAGAAGTGATGATATCAGTTCATGGGGATGTGCTATATGAGAGATAGAAGTCATGGATGCCTCCAAGGCATTGGCATATACAAGTAGAAGAAGAGCCCTAAAATTAAGTTGCTGGCTTTCACTATTAAAACCATAGTTTTCAAAATTATCTTTGCTGTGGTTCTAATGAATAATAGAATGAGACTATTTCAGTTGACTTAATTTGTCTGAACAGTACTCCTAAAGGCAAAGCATAGGCAAAGGTTTTACTGACGCCTGAATGGTAGTGGGAGTCAGGGTAGGGCAATGGATTCAAGGAAACTCTGAAGAAAAGAAAGAACCCCAGTTACTATTTTAAAATATTATTCTACTACATGAGGAATGAATATATCATGCAGACCAAACTCCCTACTGTTATCAGTTGTTACACTTTTTTCAGCCTTGATGGTGCCTGGATGTTCAACTTTTGCTTCATTCTGTTCAGTAAAGAAAAGTTCACTACTTTGTGAAACAGTCTAGTTCAGTGATTAATATCTCTGCAAAATGTTCTTCTGTTGATCTTCTGTGTATCTGTAACAAAAGTAAGCATAATCCAGCCTTTGTCTGAGACTTAGAATGAGTCTTTATGTTGTACAGTATGGTACTTAAAATTATTGAAGTCATCTCAATTTCATTTTCTTGTTTCCTGAGTACAATCATCTAGTTTCTTAAACCATTCATATTAAAATATGAATTCTAGACTGCCTGATTATCCTGGAGAGCAGAGCATGATACGATAGAAAGAACCTGGGCTTTAGAAGGAGCAAAATGGAAATTTTATGGTGGATGTCACAGAAAATGCTCTCTGCTCACCAAACCTCATATTCTTCTCTTCTTTCAAGTATACAGACAGACTAGATATCCCACCTTCCCTTGCACTTTAACATGGCCCTTTTTCCGAGTTCCAGTCAATACAAGATGAATGAAAGATACATGCACCACTTCCATATCTGGCTCATTAAATGTACCACAGACTTTCCTTCATATTCTTTATTCTTTCTGGCTAGTTGAAATGAAGACAGCTTCTGAGGCATCATTGGAAGCTGTCTGTCGGGAAAGTCTGGATACCAGAATCACTTTATCTTAAAGTGCTGCCCCATTGCCTTTACAGACTCTCCATATTTATTAGATAATTAAGAAATAAGCTATTGTTTTTTGAGTTGTTATACATTTTTGGATATTTTTGTTATCATACTTAGCTTGCCCCAACTAATATAAAGGATATAAGATACACCTTGAAACATAGACAGGGTTCATTGTAAATATGTAAAAATGGAATTCTAGGTGTAAAGAACCTAGAATTTTATATTTCTGGAATAATAAGAAGTTACAGTGAAACTGGACTACCATAACAACTGGAAAATATAGAACGAACATGGCTGGAGATATGTGAAGGATTTTAACAGGGAACAGATATATGGTATGTTTTGGATGTGGGAGTTGATAGTTGGAGGAAAAAAAAGATGTCAGATATGTCTAATATAGGTAGAATTGCCTGGCCAGGGAATTAATTTGAATGTAGGAGAAAGATGAATTAATTATAGATGGATTACTGGTGAAAAGTTGAAACCTCGACAGAAACAAACTAGAAGAATCCGAATATATTATATATTACCATTATTTCTCATAAACTAAATAGAGATGACTAGAACTTGAATTCTTGACCCTACTGCAGATTTAGGAGGGTAGTATCTATATGGGTCACACTAGAATGACACACACTGTGTATTGCATTCTAGAGCTTTGTAGAAGTCCTATGCCTGATGAGTCGTGCTGGATCCATTGTGAACCACAGGGAGCCAATCCTTGTTGAAGGCCTGATTAAAGAGTTCCCTTTAGACCCTCTTTTCCCGAGGTCTGAACATCACCTTGTTATCTTCTATAACCAACTCTTCATAACCAACCCACCTCTCCCCACTCATCACCAGATTATTTGAAATAAATCCCAGATATCACTTCCTTTATAAATATTTCAGTATGAATTTCTGTAAGACCTATTGTTTTAAGTATAACTATATTATCAACCTAGAAATTGAAATTATTTTTCATTATCACCAAATATCAATATTCAAATTTCTCTCTTTTATAAATATTTGTTTACAGATCTTTATTGATCAAAATATAAATAAGGTCATTACCTTGCCTTCAGTTTAAATGTTAAGTCTTTTAAATATATAGTAACCTCTCTCTTTTTTTCCTTGCAGTTTATTTATTAAGGAAACCAGATCTTCTGTTCTATAGTTTTCTACTTTCTGAATTTTGCCAGATGCTTTCCCATGGTGTCACTTACATATTTCTTGTTCCCTTGTTTTCTGTAAGCTGACAGTAGATTCTAAAATTTCATAAGATTTGGTTTTGGCTTTTTGTCAAGAATACCTCGTAAGTGGTGGTATGTATTACAGTGAGGAGGTAACATAATGTCTAGTCGCCTCTCTTTTCAGAATACTAGTGACCATTGATAATCATTGCCTAGATTAATTCTTGTATTAACAGTTTGTAAAATATTGATACTCTACATATAACTTCTTCATTTATTAACTAAAATACGTCAGTAAAGAGCAGCTTAGTTTAACTGACTGTTTAGTTATCTTGAGGTACAGCTCATACTGGAAAGGTAGGTTAAATGCTTAATGCCATTTTACCAATTTTTAGATTAATGAGGTTTCCTAGCATCCTCCAGAGGTCACCATAATATGGTCTATCATAATGTACACATAAATTTTTAAAATATATGATGTATTAAATTCCATTGCAGTTTCATTCTTACTGATGTTCGAATTGTCCCATTTGGCCAAGTTAGCTTCAAGTTAAGCTTTTGTGACACAATTCATTTGTTTTTAAAATTTCTCTTGCTTTTTAATGTGCCATGATGTTTCAGGTTCATTTTGTATATATTTTTGCCTCAAGCCTGAGCCCAGTCATTGCTCTGAAGATCTTTGATTCCTTTAGTGGGAATATTTAGAGACCAGTCTGGGTTTTAGGAATGCATTAGGATTTTAGGAATGTTGTTGGTATGGTAAATGACTGGTAAAGTCATTGTTTTTAAAGTTTTTTCATTGTAGTGATAAGCTTACAGATACATATTTTTAAGAAAAAAAATGTACCATGGGTTCATGATGATATTTTAAAGTTAAATTTAGGACGATAAGACTTTTATTTATTTGATTTATGTTTACATTTCTTTTCTTCTATGGAAAGTTCTGGTTCCAATGAACAACGTTAACATAATTGTTCTTTTTTTGCCCCTCCTTTTCACTTCACCTTCTGTGTGTATATGTGTGTATATGTGTATATGCCTGTGTTTACATGCACATACATAGTGGAAGTGAACAAGGACCGTACAAATGAGGAGATAAAACAAACTAGGTTATTTATTCAGAGAGTGCTGTGGCAAGGGGGTCAGCCACCATCACTTGCCTTTGGCATAAAGCTCAAAGGCAGGGAGGGGAGCAGGAGATCTTTAGAGTGGAAAGAGAGGGGAGAGAGGTCTCCAGATATGGTCTAATTAGAGGTTTTTGGTATGGGGAAGGTAGAAAGCGAGCAGCCAGAAGTGGGGCATATTCTGTGATTGGTTGGGAAGCATATCTGTATCTCTGGTCGGTCCTGAATTAGAAGTAGGGACAAAAATAGGGAGGCTGACAGTCATTGATTAACCAAGGCTTGACCATTCTTGGCTCATTGTTGCCAAGGCTGTGGCTTAGCTTTCTAGGTTGATTGCTATAGAGATTGTGAGTGACTTCTATTGTTATATATGATCTGGCTATTATCTTACATATTCTACTTACATATTCTATATTTTCTGTAATAACAATACCAATATTATTACTAACAATATGAATATGAAAACATATTGAAGGTATCTTTTGTAATGAAATTTTTCTTTTGAGTATATTTCACTAGGAAGATAGTCAAATAAATCTATTTTAAAGTCACTTTAGAAAAATTCTGTGTGTGTATAGCATGAAACGTATTTTTTCTATTTCTTCAGGAATTTCTTTTATTTCATGTTTATTTTATGATTATCTTAAGCATGTGCACATTTCCAAAGTCAAATCTAAGAAAGGTATATCCAGAGAAGTCTGGCTTCTGTAGCTAAGTCTTCTATTTTCTACCTCTATACTTAATAATTTTTTTTTTTTTTAAAGATTTGTTTGTTTGACAGACAGAAATCACAAGTAGGCAGAGAGGCAGGCACAGAGAGAGGGGGAGGCAGGCTCCCTGCCAACAGAGAACCCGATTCGGGGCTCGATCCCAGGACCCTGGGATCATGACCTGAGCTGAAAGCAGAAGCTTTAACCCACTGAGCCATCCAGGCACCCCTATACTTAATAATTTTTATAAAATTAATTTTACAAGTTACGCTTTTATTTTTTAAATATTAGCAAACACATATACATATATATTTAAATATATGTTCATATAATTTATTTGTTTATTATGTATTTATATACATCATTTATAGATAAATGGTAGCATGCAAAACACACTTAATTCTATCTTGTTTTTTTACAGTTAATGTATCCTGGAACTCACTCCCTTGTACAATTATTCTTTAAAAGTTCCTGTGTTCTTGGAGATATAGTTAGAAAAGCTTCTCTACTCCAATATTATTGAGAAACCAAAATGGATTTAATTCTATTATTATGTGCTTAGTTTATTTTAAAATGAAATTAGTTAATAGTTATGGGCCAGGATAGTACCTTTCTAATATGGCCATTTGTATATGTTGAAATTTTCCTAAATGTGTGTTCGTTTATTTTATACCTAATTATTTGAAAATTAGAAAAATTGTTTTTTCACTTGTATCTCTTTCTTCTTAGTTTAGAATGGGTCCTAGTGGAATTGTCAGATAATTGATTGGTTGACCTACATGTGCATTTGAGGGAGTTTTAGAGATTCTTTTCTGCTTACCACAAGGAAAGTCTCCTGAGATTCAGAACTTTAGACACATGCAGTTGTTTAATTTATCTTACAGTTTTAAGTGTCACATAAAGTTCAAAAAACAGATTATTGAGCCATTAAACTAAGGTCTTAGATGTTTTATCTTCCTAATGGGATAACATAGAGAATCTGGTTTGTAGTTTGATCTATAACCTTGTATAACATGCTTTAAATTTTTGTTTAGGCAGTTTGGAAGGGCTTTCTTTTGAGAAAGAAACTGACAACAGCTTTAGAGGCTATTAAGAATGAAGAATCTGAAGAAGAATATGAAGAAATAAACTTAGAGGATTTTACGTTTGACGAAGTAAGTACCAACTACAAAATATAAATATTGGTTTTAATTTTTTTTTTTTTTAGCATACTACTTTGGAGCTAACTCAGCTTCTAAGATTTTTCTCCTCTTAACATTATGTTACAGATTTTTTTAAAAAAATAACCTTTGAAAAAGTATGCTTCTAATTTCTTAGTATCTTCTTTTTGTACTCTACAAATGTGTGCAGAACGTGGTCATAGAATATTTATAAGAGTTTCTGTATGTTCTTTGACCAGATTTATGCCATGTTTTGTTTATCAGTTATCCTTCACTAAATATAACTCTGAGCTTAATTCATGCCCTGCTTAACAGCATTTTGTAGTTCTTTGTTGCCTAGGAAATGAGAGCATCCTCTCTAAATTGCTATTTAAGTATTCCATAGTAAGGTAGCACACTATCCAGACATCTATGCCACTTCTTTCCTGTGGCTTCTATATGCTCCAACCAAATTGAGCTCGATTTTATTGTATAAAGCACTTGCCTTTCACATTCTGGTTTTACTCCCTGTGCTTCCTCTTCTCTAGACAGTTACACCCACATAAACACCACTCAGATGAAGATATAGAACATATGAACACCCCCAGACTTCCTCATGCCTCTCTAGTATTCATACCTCCATCATCATAGAGTAGTTTTCCCTATTTTTGAACTTCCTGTAAGTGGAATCATATAGCATGTACTCTTCTTTCATGTAATAATATTCTGTGAGATGTTATTGAGTGTAAATATACCACTCTTTTGTCAATACCACTTTTTATCTATTATTTGAATATACCACTTTTTTAAAAGATTTTATTTATTTATTTGACAGACAGAGATCACAAGTAGGCAGAGAGTCAGGCAGAGAGAGAGAGAGAGAGAGGGGGAAGCAGGCTTGCTACTGAGCAGAGAACCTGATGTGGGACTTAATCCCAGGACCCTGGGATCATGGCCTGAGCCAAAGACAGAGGCTTTAACCCACTGAGCTACCCAGGTGCCCCTTAAATATACCACTTTTTAAAAGTATATACTACTTGGAAGATATTTTTTGTTGAGTTATTCTAGTATTGCCTTTTATGACCAAATGTTATGAACATTTGTATGCATGTCTTTTGGTGTGCATATTCATACTTCTTTTAGGAAGAGAATTTCTGAGCCTTAACATTTACCTATGTTTAGTTGATAATGCCTAATGTTATTTCAAAGTGAATGTATCAGTTTATAGTCCTATCAGCAGAATACGAGGGTTTCAGAGGAAGCTCTATCTACACCAATGTACTTTCATGTCTTTTTCTTACATTTCAGTAAGTTTGTGGTGTTATCTTATTATTTTAATTTACATTTCTGTCATAATTAATAGTTGAATACCTTTTAGCACGCTTATTGACCATTTAGCCACTTTTGTGATATGATCAAGGGTTGGCATATTTTTCCATTGGGTTGTACATCTTTTTTTCTCGTTGATTTGTAGAACTTCTTTATATATTCTGAATACTACCCTGTTTTTCCTTGCAAATATCCTGTCTAACCTCTGGAGCTTACCTTTTCAGTTTCTTTATGGATAATTTTAATGAACAGAACGTTTCTAATTTCAAATTACAAACAAAAATTTTAATTGTGACATATGAGAAATCTTTTCTTACTCTTAGATCATTAAGATATTCTAGAAACCTTATTAACTTTCAGCATTTAAGTCTGGGTGCATCTAGAATTGATTTTTATGTGTATAGTTTGAAGAAGGGGTCATGTTCCCTTGGGTCAAGTGAATCTATAAATCAACTTGGAAGAACTGATGTTTTTAGACTATTACTTTTTTAAATCCATGAACATAGACTGTCCTATCACTTATGTAAGCCATTTAAAATTTCTGTCCACAATGCTCTGTAGTTTTCTTCATAGTGGTCTTGTACATTTTTGGTTAGATTTATTTCTAGATATTTTATGTTTTCTGATATTGTATTTCTTTTTGTATGTTGACATTATATTTAACCACTTTGCTGAAATCACTGATTAATTTTAGTAGGTTATCTCTCAGGTTTTTTGTATTTTGTATATACAATCATGTTATCTGAAAATAATTATAATTTTATTTCTTTTTTTCCAATTCTTATGCCTTTTGTTTTCTTGCCTTACTATTTCCAGTAAAGTGTTGAGTAGTGATGATAGTAGACATCATTTTCTAGCTTCTTGTCTGTGAGAGAATGTTTTCAATAAATAAGCTTTCACTAAATAGATGTTTAATATAGGTTTCTTATAGTAACTCTATATTTGATTCAGGAAGTTACCTTCCTTAACACATTTTTACCATTCCAAGATATTAATATGATGATGAAGATGATTTTATAAATGAATTGGATTTTATCAAATACTTTTTATGAATATAACACTGATTTTCCAAACATTAAGTCTCATATTCAAATAAACCAACTTAGCTATAATGTATTATCTTTTTTACATCTCTGAATTTGATTTACTAATACTTGTTTAGGATTAGCATTTATATTAAAGAAGTTGGACGTGTAAATTTTCTTTTTTATAAAATTCCTAATCTAGGTTTTGGTGTCAAGCTTATGTTAGCCTTATACATTTGATTGGGAAGTATTTCCCCTATTTCTGTTTTCTGGAAGAGTTTGATGTGAGATTAAAAAAAAAAATGTGTCTCAGCATATAATCTATTTGGAGAAATGTTCCACGTGCACTTGAAAGGAATATATGCATTTTGTTATTAAAATCTCAGTTACTTCAGGTTTATTGTTTTTAAAAATCTTCTTAATCCTTAGTGATTTGGGGGGAGGAATTCTATCAGTTATTGACAGAAAAATGCTAGAATCTCTTACTATGATTGTGGGTTTTTCTAAATGAGCTTTTATTTCTGTCAAATTTTGCTTTGTACTTTGAAGCTACATTATTAGGTCATACATATGTTATATAGATAAGACACTGTGTCATTGACCCTTTCATCATAATAAAATTCCCTTCTTTCATATAGTTTTCCTCTTTAATTAAATGCTACTTCCTCCAATATTTTCATACCTATAGTCTTCTTTTGGCTAGTAATTTTATAGTAGTATATGTTTTTCTAAACATTCCCATTCAACATTTCTCTGTTTCATATTTAAAGTGTGACTCTTATAAGAGCATATAATTGGGTTTGCTTATTTTTATATTCTACTCTGACATTTTTTCATTAATATATTCAGACTATTTTAATTTATTTTAATAAGAGTATAATTAGGTTTATAAATGCCATCTTTATATTTGCTTTTTGTTTGTTCATGTGTTCTATATTCCCTTTTAGTTTTTTATTGCCTTCTGTGCATGAATTAAGTTTTTTGTTTGTTTTTCCTTTTCCCCCTTCATTAGCTTGTTAGGTTGTGGTCGTTTTTCTCCCTACATTAACATGCTTCCATCTGGATTCATTTTCTTTTCCCTAAGGATTTTCTTTAGTAATTATTTAACTTCAGATTGAGTCTTTTTTATTGCTTGAACATTTCTCCTACTTTAAATTTTGGAGGATATCTTCTCTAGGTATAGAATTCTAGGTAAGATTTTGGTGTTTAAGATGCTTTTTCATTAGCTTCTGACTTTCATGGACTCTGATGAAAAGTCAGTAAAAAGTTTTGCTTTTTCTTCTCTAAAGATATCATCCCACCCCCACTCCCCTGCCTACTTTTAAGGTTCATTTTCTGTGTTTTTCTGCAAAGGTGTAATTTTATTTGTATTTTCTCTGCTTATATTAAGGAGACCACATGGCTTCTTGAATATGTGGTTTATGTCTTTCATCAGTTTTAGAAATTTCTTAGCCAGTTATTTCAAAAATTTAATCTTTTTCATTATTTCTCTTCTTTGATGTAAAGTGGTTCCAAAATTGTGTATGTTAGAATTTCTCACCATTTCACATGTGTCTCTTAGACTCTCTTTTGAATTTTCTTTTTTTCTTCTGTCTTTTTTTTTTTTTTTAAAGATTTTATTTATTTATTTGAGAGAGAGAGATCACAAGTAGGCAGAGAGGCAGGCAGAGAGAGAAGAAGGGAAGCAGGCTCCCTGCTGAGCAGAGAGCCCGATGCGGGACTCGATCCCAGGACCCTGAGATCACGACCTGAGCCGAAGGCAGCGGCTTAACCCACTGAGCCACCCAGGCACCCTTCTTCTGTCTTTTAATATGACATATCTTGTAGTTTACTAACCATCTCTCTTGTGTTACCTAATTATTTTTAGCCTATATTTTGAATTCTTAATTTTAGTTATTCTATTTTTTAGTTCTAGAATTTTTACTTGATTATTTATTATAAATTCCAGTTATCTTGAAGTTTTCTATCACTTCCTATATTTTCTGAACATACCAAGTATGATATTTTCAAAGGTTTCTCAGTTAATTGCAACACCTGGATCACTTGTAGGTTTATTTCTATTGACTGTATGTTTCTAGCATTTTGAGTCAGTCAGTTCTCTTTTTCAGCATTTAACCTTTGATTAAGTATCAAAAATATATGGGAAAAAAGTGTAAAGACCCTGCAAGAGGTTTTCTTTCTCTAAAGAGTATTGAATTTTAATTAATCTTGTTGGCAGATAGCATATGAGCAGACATTCTTTTGAGGCTTATTTTCAAGCTTTATTAGTGCTGCTGTTATTTCTCGTTCCTCTTATAGGCTGAGCTAATATGGTTTCTCATCTAAAAGAGGCACATGTACCAGGTTATCATCACCTTGTTTATCCCTCAATTTTAATCCCTTTATCCACAGCATCAAGTGACTGATAAAGTTTCTTCTTAGCTTTATAACACTCCAGGTGTTCTTATTGTCCTTTGATTCTAGGTATCTCTCCTACACGTATTCTACATGGACTTGGAAAACACCTGAAGAAAAATTTATTACATGATTTTGTGTTCACATTTTAAAACATCACAGAGTAGAGGTACTCAGACTAAATCCTGACCCATTGATCATCCAACTGCTATCAAATTACAGGAGTTTATCACACCAACACTTCTCTACCTGCAACTCTTCCCTTTT